TCCCTTGGACTGCAAGGAGATCAAATCAATCAATCCTAAAGGAAATCAGTCCTGAATATTCATTGGAAGGACTGATGCTGAAACTCAAACTCCAGTACTTTGGTCACCTGATGCGAAGAACTGACTTCTTGGAAAAGACCCTGATGCTGGGAATGATTGAAGGCAGGAGGAGAAGGGGACGACAGGATGAGATGGTTGGATGGCATCACTGACTTGATGGATCGAGTTTAAGCAGGTTCTGGGAATTGGTGATGGACAGGGAAGCCTGGCGTGCTGTAGTCCGCGGGGTTGCAAAGAGTCAGAACGACTGAGCGCCTGAATGGAACTGATGTCTTGAAATACTTTTTTTGTGCCTTTCTCCCTCTCTTCTCCTTCTCTGATGCTGGTATCCTTGATGGTGTCCCACAGTCTCTCAGACTTTTTTCTTCCTGTTTCTCAGACTAGGTAATCTCAATTGGTTAATCTTTAATTTCACTGATTCCAGTTCACATCTGGTGTTGAGCCCTTAGTTAATTTTTTAATATCAGTTGTTATATTTTTCAACTCCAGTTGAAACCAATTTGATTGGTTCTGTTTTTTTGAATATCTCTTTTATTAGTATTTTGAATTTGCTGAGACATCATTCTCATATTTTTCTTTAATTCTTTTTTCCTTTTTAATGATTTTACTTTTTTAAAAAAACTTGAAGTATAGTTGTGTGACCATCACCACCATCTAATTCTAGAATGTCTTTATCACATAAAAAAAAAAAAGCTGTATTAATTGATAACCACTCCCCATTTCCTTCCTCTCCTTAGGTCCTGGCAGCTACTGATCTACTTTTTTCTGTCTCTTTGCATTTGATTTATATGAATGTTTCATGTCAGTGGAATGTCACACTATCTGGCCTTCTATTTCTGGCTTCTTTCTCTTACCATAATGTCTTCGAGGTTCAGTCACACTGTAGCATTTATCAGTGTGCTCAGTCACTCAGTTGTGGCCAACTCTTTGCGACCCCATGGACTGTAGCCTGCCAGGGTCCTCTGTCCATGGAATTTTCCAGGCAAGAATACTGGAGTGGGTTGCCATTTCCTTCTCCAAGCATTTATCAATGTTTCATTCATTTTTTACAGTTGAATAATATACCATTGTATGGCTGTACCACATTTTGTTCATTCATTCATCAGTTGATAGACTTGGGTTGTTCCACTTTTGGGCTATTATGAATAATGATGCTATGGACATTCATGTGTAATTTTTTTTTTTTAATGAACTGATGTTTTTCAGTTTTCTTGGGTATATGCTTAAGAGTGGAATTGCTTGGTCTCAGTGGCAACTCTCCTGTTTAACATTTTGAGGCACTGCCAAACTGTTTTTCACAGTTGCAGCATCATTTCACATTCTCACCAGCAACTTAGGAGGGTTCCGGTTTCTCTACATTCTCACCCACATTTATTTTCTGTTTTGTTTTTTGTTTGTTTTTACTGTAGTCATGCTAGCATGTGTGAAGTGATACCTTACTGTGATTTATTTGTTTTTCCCTAGTAACTGTCCATGCTGGGCATCATTTCATTTGGCTATTGGCCAGTTGTATGTCTTTCAAGAAACATCAGTTCATATAATTTGCGCATATTTTAATAGGTTGTCTTTTTAAAAAAAATTTTTTTAAGTTCTTTTTATATTCTGGATACTGGACCCTTAACAGATACATGATTTTCCATTATTTTTGCCCATGCTGTGGGTTGTCTTTTCACCTTGGTAGTAACCTTTGGTGCACAAATGTTTTTAGTTTTGATGAAGTCCAGCCTATCTATTTTTTCTTTTATTGTCTGTGTTTTAAGATGTCATGTCCAAGAAACCATTGCCTAACCTAAGATCACAAAAATTTGCACCTATATTTTCTAAGCGCTTTAAAAGTTTGAGTTCTAACATTGAGGTCTTTGATCCATTTTGAGTTACTTTTTGTTTATAATGTAAGAGAGGGGTTCTTATTTTTTTTTGACATGAGGATATTTAGTTGTCCCATCATCATTTATTGAAAAGATCGTTCTTTCTCAACTGAATGGTTTTGCACCCTTTTCTGAAATCAGCTGACCATAGGTGGCTAGGTTTATTCCAAGCTCTCAGCTGCGTTCCAGTTACGTGCATGTGTCTTTCCTTACGCTGGTGCTCTGCTGTCTCTGTTACTGTAGCTTTACACACCGAGGTTTTCAAACTAGGAAGTGTGAGTCCTCTGACATCTTGTTTTCAGTACTGTAGGTTATCTTGGGTCTCTTGTACTTCCATATACATTTTAGGATCAGCTTGCCTATTTCTGTGGAAAAGGTTCATATTTTGACAGAGACTGCATTGGATTTGCAGATGAATTTGGTGAAGTAGTAATTTTTAAGCATTACCAGTTTCATTCACATAAACTTTGAAAGCATGTAAAATGGGGAAAAGTTTAATGTTTATGATGTTTATTAAACATTAAGTGAGTGTGTGGGCCTTACTTGACCTTCTTGAATCACCTGGCAGGAGTGGGGATGGACTCGGGAGCACCAGTGTGCAGCACGCAGCAGAGAAGGCTGTTCCTCAGGGCTTTTCAAGATACTCGCTGAGGCCGGTTCAAGGTGACAGTTTTCTTTCACAGGACACACAGTTTCTATGTGAGCAGCCTTCCATCCTTCAGCACTCCTGCTGAGTGTTTCTCTTGAGTAGGGATAGATATGATTGCCTTATTGTATGTAATGAATTTGAAAAATGAACATTTGGGAACATATTTCTTACACATAGCTGTTTGATATCTCATTTCTTGAAAAGTTTATGAGAATTTTTGATCAAAATTCTCTTGAACACAGAGCTACAAATGGTGCCAGTTTAGTTGGATTTATATGCTAGCTGGGTTAGGGTTGTACTTTTAGAGTATATGTTTGTGTTCACAACACTTTTCTCATCTCTTGCTCTTATAACCTGTCTACCTTCCTGGGTTCCTAATGGAATTGTAGAATCGTAAAGGAGGCATGGTAATTGGCTATAATGAATGAAAAGGTGGTTGTTTTCAGTCACTCAGTCGTGTGACCCTGTGACCTGACTGTGTGACCCCCATGGACTGCAGCATGCCAGGCTTCCCTGTCTTCCACTGTCTTCCTGGAATTTGCTCAAACTCATGTGCATTGAATCGGTGATGTCATGGTATGACATATTTATTTTTAGCTACCAAAAAAGCAAAGTGGAAAGAAAGAAAATCTAGTACTAATCCATAAGTAGACCAAGCTATATACGGACATCATGTAGACTACATATGTCATTCAATAAAATATGTTTGAACTACTGTTATGTCTGAGAGAGGAGATTATTAAGGCAAGTGTAAACCTAATTAGCTGTGGAGGGAGAATCACACTGCTTCACTATTGTTGGTTCAGAAATGACAACCAGAGATATTTAGACCTTGTTTTTTGTACCTATCCAGAGCCAGGGGTTGTGTAGAAGCCCCCTTAGGGTGTAGGAACTGGCACAGCCTCTTAGACTATCCTTCGATCATCTGGAGGGGGAATTGGTACTGGATGAGGATGAGAAGCATCCTGTCTGCAAACCTGTCAGCCACTCACCTCTCCAGGCTCTGACTTTCTGATGCTGCACCTTCGCTGACCTGGGTATCCTGAACAGACCTAAAGTCATCCTGCTTCAGGGTCTTTGCTGTGGTAGTCCTTTCAGCTGATGAGCCCTGGCCATCACTCTTGCACTTTTCAAAACCTGTCATACAATCATGGCCTACATCCTTAAGGTAGAGTAACATTTTCTTCATAACAACCTTGATTTCTCAGGCTTTTGCTCATCGCTCCATTTCCCAACCCCCCTTAAGGTTTTATGAGTCCTGTACTTCTCAGCAGTCCTAATCGGGTACTCTTCTAATCCTCTTGTGGATTTGTGAGCTCTTTGAGGAAAAAACAAGGGAATGCCAAACACAAACATTAGTCCAGGCCCTGCGTGATGTGTCACTTGTCAGCATGAACTTTGAAGTGGTTTGTGTGGAATCAAACTTTTTTTGTTGTGTTATTTTTGTACTACAACTTGAGGAATTTTCTAACCATCATCATATCATAGTTCTTTTCTTTTATAAGGTTTCTTACTCATTTGGAGCCCACCTTTGTGGATGATAGCTTTTCAAGAGTTAATGTTCCAGAATTACTCACTGTCCTATAACTCCTAATTCTATCTTCTTTCCCCCGCCCCCCCCCCCCCACAGGAAATGACTTAGAAGCCTTACAAATACATCTGTGCATTCTTGCCTCAGACTTTACAATTGAGGGCCAACCCTGTCTGGAAGCACCTCTTATTAATGTTACAAGGAAACCGCTACCTCAGCAAACAAAAGGAATGAAGATGACTTATGATAGCATATGCCATTTTTTTGAAGGAAAAAAAAAACTTGTTTTCAGAAAACATTAGAGGAAATTTGGAAATTTTTTGCATTGAGAAGAAGCTTTACAGGTAAATAGATTTGGCAGGCAGGCTCTGTCAAAATTCTGCAGATTTGATCTTCCTTCCTAAGGACTTAGTGTGAAGTGATGCTGTACTGCTTTTTAAATTGCTGTTGATCAGCTTGTGGGTTTTTGGGTTCTAACTTTTCTGGTATATTGAAGATACATTATATTACATTTTTTAAAGTTAAGTTATTTTTCTGCCATTGTAAATACAAGTATCAAAATATTCTTGCAAAGCAGTTCTCAGTAAACATTTTTCTCAGCAACTATATCTTTTTATTAAGAGGGTGGAATGCTAACAGTTCTTGTATAGCATTTTGGACACACTTATTTTTTGTCAGAGGTCCTGTCTCCACTGAAAATATTAACTATATAAACTTCTTGTCCTTTTCACGTCGACATTGGATCACATGGTCACCTGCCTCATGGAAATGCCTTTTTTAAAACTTAGATTTGCAGAACTCCACTATTTTTATACCTAGCCACGGTTTTAGGAAGAAAAAAGGAATCAGAACCCTGACCCTCTCCCGGTTTCTGGGACAGTCCCCTTCCCGCATGTATTGCTGCAGTGCCCAGGACAGTAAAATGGACTACAAGCGGCGCTTCCTGCTTGGCGGGTCCAAGCAGAAGGTGCAGCAGCACCAGCAGTACCCAATGCCCGAGCTGGGCCGAGCACTGAGTGCTCCCCTGGCATCTACGGCCACCACCGCCCCCCTGGGCAGTCTGACCGCTGCAGGCAGCTGCCACCACGCCATGCCCCACTCCACTCCCATTGCCGACATCCAGCAGGGCATCTCCAAGTACCTGGACGCCCTCAACGTTTTCTGCCGTGCCAGTACTTTCCTCACAGATCTCTTCAGCACTGTGTTCAGGAACTCTCACTACTCCAAGGCAGCCATGCAGCTCAAAGATGTGCAGGAGCACGTCATGGAAGCAGCCAGTCGGCTGACTTCAGCCATCAAGCCTGAGATTGCCAAGATGCTGATGGAACTTAGTGCTGGGGCTGCGAACTTGACAGATCAGAAGGAATTCAGTCTCCAGGACATTGAGGTAGAGTATCTTCTCTGTCATACTTGGGTTGGAAAGTGTATTCCAGAGGTAAGTGAGAATGTTGTTTTAGTTTTTTCTCAAATCACTGAAAGATGGTCTTCGTCCTCTTTCCATTGATACTCTGTTCTTGTGAAAAAAATTTTTTTTTGCATGCCAGATTTTGAATTGCTTTAATTTTAAATTAAGTAGGATAAAAGATTATTAAACAAATGAATTAGCCTAGATTTTCTTTAAATTTTCAACTTGGAGCTTAATTTCCAAATAACATGCTGTTAATGTACGCAGTGATGTGATGTGCTGTGATATGATAGTCACTTAGTCCTGTCCAACTCTTGCGACCCCATGGATTGTAGACCGCCAGGCTCCTCTGTCAGTGGGATCTCCCAGGCAAGAATACTGGAGTGGGTTGCCATTCCCTTCTCCAGGGGATAAAGTACACAGTAGGGACTGAGAATTCTAAATGTGATAATAAAGATTTATTTGCGAATTGTCATTATATAGACCCATTGGTTTAATGTAGCAAGTTCTACACATGTTTATAGGATAAAGGTATTTTTCCAGTTCTAAATTTACAGTTGTTCACATTAGGATGCATTTGATTCTTATTCAGGACATTTCTTTGGTCTTTGATAGTCAAAATGAAATATTCTCCCTTTTTCAGGGCTTTAGATTATAAAATTGGAATATGAATTTCATTCAGAATAAAGGTGATGTTTTTCCTTCATTTAGAAAATAATTGTTAAACTGTCATCTGTTAAATTCGCTTCACTGCTAGATTTTTAAAATTATTTTTAGTTGCTCAGAGAGTTCTTCTGAGTTTGATTTTTCCACGTGTCCTTGTACATTTTAGCAACACATCAGAGGTTAGGTTTCTGGATGCTAGGAGGGAGAATGTTTTTTCAGCATCCTGGGGTTGTATTTGATTTTCGGAAATCACCAGTCTTCTGAAACAAATCTGATGATTGCAGTGGCTGAATAAGCTAATTTATACTGTTGTGGGTTTTGGGGGAACAAAAGCTAAGCTATTAAGTATTATGACTCACTTTTATTGTGTTTAAAAGGCATATTGTGATTTGGAAAGCATTTCCAAGAGGAATTTTTTTGTTTTAATTTATTTTCGGCTGTGCTGGGTCTTCACTGCTGCACAGGTTTTCTCCAGTTGTGGCGAGTTGGGGCTACTCTCTAGTTTGCAGCGCGCCGACTTCTCATTGCAGTGTCTTCTCTTGTGGAGCATGGGCTCTAGGCGTGTGGGCTCAGTGGTTGTGGCACATGGACTTAGTTGCCCCACAGCATGTGATATCTTTTTGGACCTAGGGATCGAACACGTGTCTCCTGCATTGCAAATTCTCAACCACTGAACCACCGGGGAAGTCCTCCAAGAGGAATTTAAAATTATTTTTGAAAAGACATAATAGTCTTGGTTTAAATCAGGCATTAGGCATCTTCAGATTTTTTTCTATAGAGGGCAAATAGTAAATTTTAGGCTGCGTGGGCCACATGTGTCTCTGTCACAAACTCTTTGTTTTTTTGGGGTTTTTTTTAATAACCCTTTAAGAATATGAAAACCAGTTTTCCCTTGTAGACTTGTCTATTGGACTGGATTTGGCCTGTTGCTGAATCTGCTGGTATAAATGTACACGTGTGTAATATCTTCCTTGGGTCATTCTGTTTTGAACCTATCCAAGTATATTTTTTATTTTCTGATTTTTTTCCTGTGGTCATAGCATATAGAGAAAGCATGATTTTGAAGTGTTTTAAAAAATGGCGTATCATAGTTTAAAGTATTTTTTTAAATTACACATGTAAATCATATATAAAGCATATTTTAAAAAAAACATGTACTTCTCAAAAGAAACTCAAGCAGTAAAATTTAACACTACTGCTCAACTCTGCCATCCCATTCCTTTTCCCAGAAGAGACCACTGTTAACTAGGTTGGTATGTGCCATTCCAGACTACTGTGTATACATGCACAGATACACAGCTGTGACTTCTGTTTGTTTTATGTGAAGAACCAAGTTCAGCTGCCTGTGTGCTTGATTGCTGCTGGGCAGAGACGTGACAGGGGAGCGCTTAGAGACTCTGCCTTCTCTGAAACAGTTGAACCAGGCCCAGACTGTTATAGCTATCATCCTATAATGGCACAACCATCATTAGCTTTATTTAGAATTTAAGGCAAGAGTGGTTTGAAAAATGAGGCCAAAGCCTCTTATTTTAACATGAACATTACTGAGCTCTTCTTCAGGCCATGCCTCCAAGTGCTGGAAGAGACAGAGCTAGGCCTCCAGGACCATTTCTCTTTCGACCCAATAGGGCAAGTGTCCTTGTTCCCCAGGACAGGACAACTAGAGAAGGATGAACTAACCCTGAGGACTTGGAGTTCAGTAATCCACTGGGTGCAGTAGCACTTAGCCGGTCCCTTCTGCTTTTCTGGGACCAGTGTGGACCATTTGAGCTGAGAAAGGGAAGTATTTCTTGTTGTGTTTTGGAATTTTGGCTTGACTTTCCCCATTGAAATGTGATTAGGATAGCTGGAACACTACCATGTTTTTGTGTATAATGGGCTAAACAGGCTTTCAGAGTCTAAGCTGGAAACTAAGTGCTGTTGATGGGTTTTAGAATCTATGCTTGTATTCTGGGTTTCAAACTGCTGACTTATAAGTAAATCCTAAAATGTGATTGCCAAATGTAGGCCTGCAGACTTAACATTTTGCTCTTTCCACAGAACAGTATTTGTTGTTTCTGGAATTTATGTACTGCCGTGGTCCCTCTCTCTCAGGATATTAACCAATTCAGATAGAATAGTTAGGCATTTTTTCCCCTGTGTTGGCTTTTAAAGATATTATCAGCAAGGCCCAGAGACACTCTTTTGCATTCATCCTTGGGGAAAGAATCTGTGGTCTAACATTGATGAACTTGACTGACTAGGCAAGGACCTGTGCTTGGCAGCTGAGCCTAGGACTGTGGTTAAAGAAAGCCCTGAATTCAGTGTTCAAATGCTTGACCATTTTAAACCTGAGACATACAAGTTCCACTGTCCTACCCCTCGAGGGGGCGAAAACATGCTTCTGATGCTCCCTGAGTTAAAGTCAGGTTTGGGATATGCTCACTGATTGACAGACCCTGCTGCCTGTGTCGAGGAATTGCAGTTGCTGACTGTGTGCTCTGGGGCAGGCAGGGTATACATGAGTCTTGTCCTGTCTATATTCATTATTGACTCTACACCTTACATGAAGTGGTTCACCCTCATAATCTCACTGTTAGAGAAGTAAGTTGTGAGTATTAACTAGTGTTTGTGACACTGCTTATTGTGGGGCATGGAATCAGAAAATGTGGGTTTAGAAAATGACTCTGCTTCTTATTGTCTGTGTGATGTTGAGCAAATCTTCTAACATCTAAGCCTCAGTTTGCCCATCTGTAAAATGGAATTACTATCCACCTTCACAAGAGTTCTTGTGAAGATCAGAAGCAATTAGTGTGTGAAATACTGTACCCAGTTAGTTGTCATCCCATGTTATTATTGCTTCCAACATGGCCTGAAAGGTACTATTAGCCCTTCTCTGAAGTACAGAGCACAATTATGTACCAAGCCAGCATCAGAGAGGAATGTACAGCAGGTTGTTCTCACCAGAACGCTTTTAGGTGGAAAAAGTTGCCACTCCTAGGACATTTGCGCTACTCCTTTCTTTCCTGCTTCCTTAGGCAGGCCACCTCCCTTTCCCTTCTACTTATTGTCTCTTTGGGTGTTACAAGATGGCAACAGTATTACCTTGCTTGATGTAAAAACTGTCAGGATCTTTTCAGCATAAAAGCCTGTAGGGACCTCTTCTACCAGGAGTCACTGCTCTATTACCTTGTAACTAGAATTCCCAGGTGGTGCAGTGGTCAAGAACCCACTTTGCCAGTGCAGGAGATGCAAGAGATGCAGGTTCAATCCCTGGGTCTGGAAGATCCCCTGGAGTAGGAAAGAGCTACTCACTCCAGTATTCTTGCCTGGAAAATTCCATGGACAGAGGAGCCTGTTGGGCTACAGTCCATGGGGTTGCAAAAGAGTCAGACATGACTGAGCAACTGAGCATGCATAGAATGGAGAGACTCAGGGAAGGGAATGGAGAGGGAGGTGGGACACTTGCAGTAGCCAGGAATTTTTGAACAAGCCAGCTGACAGTTCAGGTGGGATTTTCCCCCCTCTGGATTTATAGAAAATGTAGAGTTTACTTTGTATATGAACTGGAATGTTGTCTAAAATGAGAAATACGATCTTAATCAAGTGCTCTGTGGGGATTCCTTTGTGTAAGTCTCAAACTATCAGTCCAGCCAAAGTGAATTCAGGAAAAATATGGTTTTCCACGTTGAATTTGTTCATCATATAAAGCTTTGACATCCTACAGTATTTTTTACAGGTAGGCCACATGAGACCTGCTGTCTCTATCTTTTCGAGTCTAGGGGCATCTCCATTGGTGTGTTAATTCCAATGAAAGGCCAGGCTTCATGAGTTGAGTGGCTGTGAGTTCTCTTTGGTTTTGTCTACCTCAGTTTTATTTGTCCTAAAAATCTGTTACCCTAACTGATACTGAGCCTTAGACTCAGACTCATTTGCAAGCAAAACATGTAGTTCATATTAAAGAAGTATAGGCAGTCCCCTAACTAGGTTTTCTGTTTATTAGAAAGTCACAAATGTTAACTTCTTTTTATAAACATCTGTCACTCGTTTTAAATGAAATTACCTTTTCAGTGCAAATATGTAAGTGAAAGAATGAAACTGACTTGTAGTTCATGTGTTCATTACACAGATGTATATTGCACACTTTGTTTGTGCCAGGCATAGAGGAAGGGAACAAGACAGAAGTGCCTCCTTTCATGCAGATAGATGAGGACTGTGATCTTAGATACTTGGTTAGAAAAGGCATCAGTGAGAATGTGATATTTGAGAAAGAAACTGGGGGAGATGAAGAAGCAGGCCTTGATGATAGCCAGTAAAGAGGGTTCTGGGGAGAGGGG